CTAAGCTAACGTGGAATAGTCACATTGCTAAAATAGCAGAACGCGTCTCCAATAGACTGAATGTACTGAAGCGTCTTGCTGGTAGAGTATGGGGCTGTGCACGCTCAACTCTCAACACCACTTACAAGATGTTTATTCAGCCAATAATGTTATATTACTGTGAGCCACTCATTACAGCCACAGAGATGACTCTCAAACCCCTCGAGAAGGCACACAACCAAGCATTACGGCTAATTACTGGAGGGATAAAATCAACACCCATTGATGCAATGCTCCTAGTTACAGGAAGCACCACAATATGTTCCCTTATCAAAGAACCTACTGGGCATTCCCATGGACAAGTTCTTCAGCACCTATGAGAATAGACCAAGACACCTGAAAACGCAATCTGGTCTAATACAGAAAGCCATAGAACTGAAGAAAGAATTACAAATCGATGACAAATCAAAAAGCTTCACTCTACCCATGAACCCATTACCAGACACTGATGTAGTGTTGCACCCAACTGCTTGATTTCTTCAGGAAATCAAACACCCATCCAGAAAAAATGCGCTCACTGCCCTTTGAGACAATCAATGTCAACTACCCTGGAGATCAATAGCTCCAAGTCTTCACTGATGGGTCATACATAGAAAACCAAGCAAACGTTGGTGCAGATGTCTATTCTGAACTCTTCTCTTTCTACGCAGCAGCGGGACATAATAGATCCGCTTTTGAATGTGAAATAGAGGCCATTAGGATAGCACTATGCCAATTATGTTGCCTGGATACGAAATTCACCAAAGCGGTGATACTTTCGGACTCACAGTCAGCAATGAACTCAATTGGAAGTAGAGAGCCACCCCAAACAGCTGAGATAAAGGAATGTAGAAAACTCTATGAGTTGCTGAGAGAGAAAAACAAGACAGTGGTCCTACAATGGATTCCTGGTCACTGTGGCATTAAAGGCAATGAGCTTGCTGACACACTTGGTAAGTAAGGTACAACGATTTCGCAATGCATGGACCGGCCGATGTCTTTCCACACAATGAAGGCCTTAATCAGGAGAGAATTCCAGACCTCAAGATGGAAAGAACTTAAGCCTGAACAAAGGAGAAACAGTGGACAGTGGCACTCTCCGATATAGCCGACTGGCCAAGAATTGAAGCCGTTACTGAGTTTAGACTGCGACCGGACACGATTGCTTGTCAAAAAATCTTCACAGATTGGGAGTATACACTCAACCTACATGCCCTCTATGTAACCTACAGGAGGAAATGGAGAAGACCCACCTGATTCGGTGTCCATCACTTAAGACAACGACGGAAACACAGAGATACTGGGAAACAAGAAGACGGCTAATGAACTGCTATCAATTAACTGCTATAAATGTACACCCCACCCTTGGGGGAAGCTGAAGTCAAAGTTTAAGGGCTAATGATAAATATCATGAAGCCTGCCATTTGAAATAATAATAATGTCATATTGAACCACTTCCTAAGTAATCACCTAGCTTTTTCCCTACCTTTGTGCCTGTCTCCTTGACATCCGTGAATCACTCTTCTGTTAGCCTTTTCAACTTTTTGTAACTTTAATGTTCCTCACCCTTCTCTCTGTGAATCCCGAAGTCAACTAAAGGACAAATGATAGCTAAGAATTCACATTGTGGCACAGACCAATCAACGATTGCACAATTCTGCAAATATACGCCTCAATAAGAAAAGAAATTTAAAATTTTGTGTCATTAAAAGAGGAGAATTAGAAATAGTTTATTTAAAGTAGGTTTTTCTTGTGATTCAAATTTGAATGAAATGAAAGCGTCTTTAATTAAAGAAGGTCAATGCGTTGAAAAACAATTCGTAACTTGTAACGAATGCTTCCGGTAAACTGTGAAACGAAGAAAATATAAAATATTTCACACAACCAATTTTTTCATTTTAAAGGGACTTTTGGAGAAATCAGAATTTATAACATGACCTAAGGACACCTTTGCAAGTATGAATTGAATTTTTTGGTGAGTAAACGAATAGACGTCATACGTTGTTGGCAATCGCTTGACTGAATTATGGTTGAAAAAATAAGAAGAAATAAAATTAAGATCGAATATTGAAATTGCGAAAAATACAAAATGTTAGACCATAATTAGCATAAATTTACATTTCAAAATTATCTCTCGTGTCATACTAATTAGGAAAATTTTGGCGGCATTTATCAATTTCAAATCAGCATGTCACTAAGAAAACATCTCAAACTTTAAAAGATTGTTCACTCAACGTCTCAAAAGGAAGATATAGGTATCCCTCTAAACAAACAGTTTGATTTCACAGATTACGAAATTGCAACTTTTTCAAATAAAATATATTAGATGCTACCAATATATATATATATATATTTATTGTTCAAAGAAAGACTTTGCAAATGAAGGCACAATTGTCTTTGCATATTGTTTTTAAATGATACATTAGCTCAGGTGAAATGATTATGCGAATAAAAATTTGCACAAAGTGCACTTTTGACAGGCTCTTCCCGTGCCATGACATGACTAGAGATAATCTCCCCACTTCGACTAATCCCATCTAAGCATAAGGGAGATTTATAAGTGCAATATTAAAGTGCATAGTCAGTTGAACCTTTCAGGTCAAAAAAGAAAGGCCAGTTTTAATTGCTCCTGGCCCTTCTATAAATAAATCACTGCACGTATATATATACACTAGGCACGTAGCAGGCAGGCGGCTGTATCTGTAATCATGTTTGCGTTCAACGTTATTCTGTTCGCTAGCCTTCTTACTCTCGCCAACTCTCAAAGCAGTAAGTTCGTTGCTGAATTGCAAGGCCGTCCATGTTGTACATGAATCATACCATTGATTAAAATCGTTGCTTCTGCTAAAATTGATATATATTAGAATTTGCCCGTATTTCAAAATCAAATTTATTTTGTATATAAATATATATATATTTCTTTCTTCCATAGCATGCAGCGAACTTGGTCAATGGTGTGACGGAACTCTGTTCCACCGTTGCTGCGGTCAATTGCAGTGTGAGTTGTCTTCAATTTTCAACGGAAAATGTGCTGAATGCCTGGGCTCTGGTCAGATGTGCTCACGCGACGAACAGTGCTGTTCAAAAAATTGTCGTTGGTACAGGATATGCGATTGAATTGCTCTAAGTCTTCTTCACTCTTTTTGGAAATTAATGTCTCCATTTTCCCAATAAATTTTAAATTCATTGCTGCAATTCTTTTTTTAGTTAAATAAAATTTTGTGTTTATTAATTTTATTTCCACCACCTGAATTAAGTTTTAATGCTGATTTAAGTGATTCTCCAAATAATGCAAAAACTCACATTATTTAGTATAAAGTGGGAGTGAAACTTAGCATTCAGCTCAATAGATGAATGCTGATGTAAACACCGATTCTGTTTAGAAGTGATTTACACACAATTTCCTCATGTCCTTCTGCAAGGCTCCCAGTTGTATCAACTTTCATCCATTAGATTCAGTTGTAACTTGCTCAAAATCACCCATTACGCATTCAGTTTGCCCCAAATATTGTATGTAAGTGAAGATCGTTAATCGTCACACCTTTCCTTTCAAACAAATCCTCTCGTTAATAGTTCCATGAAATTTAAATTTTTTTGTGAGTGAAATTATTTGAACAGTTTTACCCGTCATTCATAAAATCGAAACAAAGAAGTTATAGAATATACGTCCTATTTTTCTTATTTTTATTGATTGACTCCTTTTCATGGTAACGAAATGTTGTTTAAAGTTAGATAAAGTGCGCGATAAAATTGGTTTAGTGTGCTGTTGGTAGCAAATTCTTGTGAAATATTGAAAGAGAACAATCTTTATGGCTAATTCAGGTGATAAAATGATTTTGGATATTCGAATATTGCATTAGTTCGTCGGCTCACTTATACCAGTTTGAATTTATGGTTAAAATGAATTTTAAACTCAAAAACAAACTAACTACAATTCAGAAAGGTGTTGATATTTTTTGTAAATAAACAAATTCAATCAATGTTCTTGTGCACTGAAAAAAGTTGCAGTTGGGTCAATGTGTCAAGCAGCACATTTATTGCATTTATTCCAACTCTTTAAAACTTTTTATATTTAAGAAAGAAATGTGAAAGAAATGAAGACAGATTTCATAAAGGGAAAAAATTTTATTCAATATTCTAGAAATTGTAACAATCATGTTTTGAATGAAACAAATTTCTAGCACTTAGATGAAATTCAAATTTGAATTCAACGAACCCCCAGGCAAACAGGCAACTTTCGGAAAACTATAAAATCTTTTTAGCTCTTTAATGCGTTATTATTTACTGCTGATATGTTAATATCAAAATTCGCATTTTCATATTTGACAGCATTTACCAATATTTTGTTTATTACATAAGACATTGCCTTAAAGGATTAATATTATTTAATGTCTTTTAAAAGCATAAATACAATTGCACACCTGTATGCGTTTAGTGCCATAAAAACAACTTTGAAAAATTCTTATTTGAAATTTTATTATTGTTTTCGATGACAGAACTTCAACACCTATTTGCTAATTTTTAACCTGCAAAATGTTATGTCTTAGATAATTATAGATTCATAGGTATACCATTAATTTATTAAGGCCTTCGGTTTACATTTTATATACTATCATGAAGGCAACTAGAATCAAAATTAAAATTATACCTATATAGATTTTTAATAATTTATTGCCAGGATTTAATTTAGCTAGATGGAATAAAGTTGGTCATTGCAGAAAACAGATGGAAAGGAATCAAATTGAATTACATTTCAAAACTGAAAATAATCAACTCAAAATCAGATAAAAGAATTTTTATGCATAAATTTGCATTCAAATAAATGGGGCCAATGATAAATATCATAAAGCCAGCCATTTGAAATATCAACATTCAAAATACTTAGCTCCCGCGTTTAGGTGGCATTAAACAGTTTCAAATCAGTTCATTGCAAATAAAAAATTTTAAAAATTGAAAAATATCGTTCATTCGACGATTCCAAAAGAAGATATAGGTATCACTCTAAAAGTGCAGTTAGATTTCACAGATTATGCGATTGCAATTTTTTCAAATCGTGAATAGTAAATGATATCAATAGATATATTGCTCAATTAAAGACTTTACAAATAAAGGAATAACTGTCTTTATATATTGTTTTTAAATGATAAGTGCATGCAAACAAAAATTTGCACCAAGTGCACCTTTAACAAGATCTTTTCGTGCCATGACATGGTTAGAGATAATCTCCCAACTTCGAATAATCTCATCTAAGCATAAGGGAGATTTATAAGTGCAATATTAAAGTGCATAGTCACTTGACCCCTTCAGGTCAAAAAGAAATGTCAAGTTTTTTATTTCTCCTGGCCATTCTATTAAAAATTTAAAAGATGAAAATCCAGCGATTGTGTGTCTGATTTTAACTTGAATTTTGAGATTTAACTTTTCAATTTAGGCTATTAAATGCAAATTATCATTTCAAATTTAATTTCCCTTTAAGATTTAGAAAATTCTCTCAATTACCTATTTGTAAACTTTATGGAGTGATATTGAAAGTGTATGCTTATCAAATTTTTTAATTAACGTAAAAACCCTCAAAGTGAATGTATAGGAAGACAAATGCTTTGATCCCCCAACTAAATTGCTTTTATCTCAATATATAAATAAAATATAGACTCAAAATAGCAAATATCCATTTTCAAACTTATTCTAAAAGCGTATTTATACTGTGGGACATGTTATTGCGTTGTGCGTCATCGTATGCCTGCATGTCTGCTCGCCAGGTTTGGGAGGTGCGGCCGTACAACTCATTAACCTCTGTTTAACCTAATCCCACATCCTGATCATGATTAAGCCCCCTACGTGTACACTTTAACCGCAATACCCGTACTTAATAAACGTGCTCCGTGCTACACGTCTGTTTTCTTTATAGCTGGGCTATAGCTTAGCTGGTTCTGGGAGTCAAGCTAGATGTTGGAGAATCTGCCATAGAAGTTTCTGAGTCAGTCAGGCTTTACTAAGGTAGCAATCCGCTACAATACCTTTAGTGCCAAATATTTCCATTTACATATGAAAAATAAATTTAAATTAATTTAATAGTCACACTGAGCGGCAATAACATGATTTTAGTTTACTAAAATCAACAGAACACCCGATCGTTGTGTATTGCTTTAATCAGGTCAAATTATTCATTTGCAATTTCGAACTCTGAATTACTTTTTTTATCTTACCAGTGCAGATGTGATGTTAAGCCAAATTATGCACTTCTAACTAAAAAAATATTTAATCTCATTGCTCTCAAACGTCAAAAATTCATCTGAACGTTCTTCTGATACTTCAAAGATTATGATACAAAATTAGTCATAAGAATCATTTGATCAAGATTGAATAAGTCCGCGTCTCTCTAAATCAGATTATAAAGGTATCCTAAAATTTTATTTAAGCTATTAAAGGCTTATGACTGCGTTTTTTGATCAAGTTAAGTTTTCACAAATGCTTATGGCATATGTTGAGTGTGTGTGCATATACGATTTGGGAGTTACGAACAAAGTTATAATAATAGACAATCAAATATCCTATCACAATGAAGTTTGTTTTGCAATAACTAAATTTTATTGTAAACAATTTACCTGTAGTTATCTTTATAAAAAAAAGTTTCTCATTAGTTTCATTGTTCAAACTTTGCAACAAAAATTGCGCGTTTGCGTGTCTATTTAATGAAGCTTATTTCATTTCATTGCTCATAAATTCCAATGCATTACCTCCAAGACTGCTTTCGTATGCACCACATAGAAAGAATGGGATTTAATGGAAGGTGGGGGAGGGAAGAGTAGAGGGGGGAATATTTTTTGTCTGTTAGATCCCATAAAACCTAAAAGATTAAAGCTATTGTTTTTAAGTCCCTAATTTAATTAACCAATGAAATTTAATAAGATTATACGGGAGATGGATTTTCGTCTTAGTCCTTTTGTTCTCCGCCTTTTACATCAAAGCAGAAATAGATGGTTTTTTATTTAAATAAAAATTTGTTTAAACCCAACTTCATAATTGGAAAGTATTCAGGAAGAGTTTGTTTTTTTGGGGGACTTAAGAAATACTTGAAATTTGGCCAACTCTGAGGCCGGAATAAATGGTGCATTAGATTGCAAAGTGGGGGCGTGTGATAGACTTACCTCCACGTTGTGCACTCTGAGTAAAGTATACTCATTCACCAAAAAGTCTATTAACCGGCAGTTGACGTCTGAATTCAAATTTCTATGTCTTTGAAAGACTCTTCTGTTCCCCCCCCCCCTCTCGACTTCTTTTCACTTTGATGTTCCTTCCTCTCTGTGAAGCCTGAAGTCAACTAAAGGGCTAATGATAAGTAACAAGATGCCCGCCATTTGATATAAATAAATAAGATTGCAAAATGTTCCAATATTTTATTTTAGTATCAGTATCGAGAGAGGTTATGGTGTAGAAAACCCTTTTTTTTCATTTTCAATCGGAATTTCAAACCTGACCCTAACGAATGTCACCGCTCTAGGGACAACTTCAATCAACCAATAAAATGAAGGAATGACAGTATTAACGGGTCAAGATGCTATCGGCGAACCATTTCAATTACCCACAGAAATGCAAAAGTTTTTGCACATATGATGGAGGTAAGGAAAGTTTGACAAATTATAGTCAAAAGTGCTCAACAACCAAAATTTAAATTTCACAATTAGTGGTCAGGATAGTTGAATCTTTTCACACCAAATACGATTTTATTCCTACACATAGAAAATGGAAGGCTTTGCTTAATAGTTTGTAATTTGAAATTTTAATCTAATAGAGATGGAGCAATATATTTTTTTCCTTTCAAAGGCAGAATATTGATTGCTCACATGATTTAGTGTGTTTATCTTTAGAACTTAATCAAACTAATATGAGAATATTTTTTTTCCATAATTACCATTAATTTGAGAATTATTTTATTATTTTTGTCAGTCACTTTGTCGCCATTTAATAATGAACCCTGGAAGTTGAGCAATTTGTGAAAAAAGATTTACATCCAAACAAAAGGTTCTTTAATTAACTACCCGCCAAAATCATTGGGAAAATTTCTTTCAATTTAAATCGAATAAAGACCTGATTGTGACATTGCACAAGCACTTAAT